AAGCATTAGAGAGCTCGTTTTAGAGAGAGAAAAAGATGAAACTACTACATTATGTAATGTATAAAATAATGAATTCTAAGTATATTACATAGTAGTATCGTTATTACATTATGTTATAATGTTACATATACAGTATACATCAATAGGTATTATAATTATGTGGGTATGAAATTATGAATTGCATTGTCTCAGATTCACTTTCTCCTGTTGATGCATCATGCATGCCTTTTTATTGTCCTTTGAGCTAAGTTAACAATTAGGTCATGTTCCTTAGAGCTGCTCTGCTCTACCCTGCCCTGCCTTGCTCTGCTATTCTCTGCTGAAATCCGATGCTCTGTTTAAAAAATATAATTAATACTTAATAAAAATAAAATAATAATAATAATTAATATTTATAGATAATAATTAATATAATAATAATATTAATTAATATATAATATATAATATTAAATTTATAGTAACAACTAATATTTGATGATAATAATTACTATTTTATTTTATTTAACACATTTTCTAACATTATAAAACAAGTAAAAAAAATCTGTAAAAATCAAATAATTATTAATAATAATGCGATAATAATAATAATAATAATAAAATAATTAATAACAATGATAAAAATAATTAATAAGAATAATAATAATTGTTTCAAACTAATAATAATAATAATAATAATAATAATAATAATAATAATAATAATAATAATAATAATAATATATCTGCTTTGCTTTACTGAAATCTGCTCTGCTCTGCTCTGCTCTGCTCTGATATGTCTAAAAGCTCAAAAGACCATAGACTACTCTAGCTATTAATATTCCAACATAATGATATCATGTTCTCGAAACATATACTCGTATATATTTTACGACAATTTATGTGACACATTACTCTGAAATTTGCTTTCTTATTTGACATAATTAAGCTTAGGAGTAAACGAACAGAATTGTACTACATTATTCTATACTTATTTGAATTTTATCTCTTAAAATTGTTTCATCAGGCTATTAAATATGTTCTCTTCACCTTATTTGTGCTGAACTAAACTAATTTTCACTAAATTGAATTATTTTTGCTAAACTAAAATTATTTTTACTAATTAAAATTTATTTTTACTGATACTCTATAATTTTAGTGAACTGAATTATTTTTAGGAAAATTTGTCAAATAATACCTTTTATAACCCTTTTGTTGTCCAAAACACCTTATAATTTTTTTATTTTATGTTAAAACACACCTAAAGCCAGTTTTTTTTTTTTTTTTTTTTTTTTTTTTTTTTTTTTGGTGAGAACACACCTTCCTTGGTTTTCAGACTATTGACTTTTGTTTACCGTTGTTGACTCGTCACGTGAGACTCACGTGAAGTCGTGAAGGTCACATTCTCAGAATACCCCCTTTTTCTCTCCTCAAGCCACCACAACCACAAGCCTAGACAACCCTAGCCACCGACACCACCGCCTAGTCGCCACTAGAACCACCTCTCAACCGTGGACACCACCACCAATCAACCTAGCCACCATCACCGCCCACCCAAATAACAAATAATCCACCCGAAAAATCACATCTATCTTTCTCTCTCCTTCATTTTCACTCCCTCCTACTTAAGATCTTCAATTTTCTGCAACTTTTCCGTATATCTAACAATGGAGCAAGAATCCCCAACAAAAACCTACATCAAATCCACCACAAATTACTGACTTTAATCTTGTTCTTGATTGTTAAGGTGGTCACTCTTTGCCGTGGATTGTTGCGTCGATGTTGGAGGAGGTGAGGATGGCCTAGTTGTTATGGATGAAGAAAGGGAGGGGGGATTTTTTGGGTAGGTTAAAAGATATTTGGGTGGGCTGTGGACGGTGATGGTGGTGCATGTTCGCGGCTGAGAGGTGGTTCTAGTGGCAACTAGGCGGTGGTGTTGGCGGCTAGGGTGGCTAGCTAGGATGTGGTTGTGAGGAGAGATAAATGGGGTATTCTAAGCATGTGACACTCACGTGAGGGGGTCAACGCCTTTAAACCAAGGTCAATGGCTTGAAACTGGGGTAAGGTGTGTTCTCCCAAAAAAAATCTGATTTTAGGTGTGTTTTAACAAAAAAAATTATTAGGTGTTTTTTCACAGCAAAAGGGTTATAAAAGGTGTTATTTGACAAATTTTCCTTATTTTTTATTGAACTAAACTTATTTTTACTGAACTGAATTTGAATTTACTTTTACTAGATATTATTAAGGTAAAGAGAACATGACCTTAGTAATTAACAAATTTAAGATTCGGAGCTAATATATACAAATCAATGGACAAGTATAGATGATGTACACATTCTATACCATATTTTACCATCATTTTATAGCTATGTTCGTATGATTTCTAAGCTCTACGGAGCTATTTCTCGCTAATATCCTCCTCTCTAGTGTGGCTTGGTCTATTTGATTGATTTTGTAGGCATATGAAGATTTCCGAATGATTTGGACTTATTTTGGATAGCCACGAAAGCTTATTAATATGGAGGAGAATTTTACCTGTGTCCGCCCTAGAGGGCAACATTGCCCTGGCAGCCAGGGCTAAGAACGAAAGAAGAGAAGTCACAATAGAGGAAGTATGAAGAGTTAGCTTTTGTCCGCCCGGACCGGGCAGCATTGCCCTGGCAGACCGGGCAAACAAAAAACTGTACAATATAGGCCATATGAAGAAGCGCAAAAAGGAGTTGCTTCGCGCGCCCGACCGGGCAGCCTTGCCCGGTCAGACCGGGCGGAGTGTCGAAGACCCCGTTTTCCTTTTTTTTCGGGATTTTCTTAACTAAGGGATATAAATACCCTTTGTAAACCCCGACTAAAACAGACTTAATCATTATCTTTTCAGTATTAAACACTATTAGAACCTAATATTCTCTCTAGATCTAGATTACATTCCACTTTCAAGTTTTAATCTTTATTCATCAACAATTTGTACTTTTCTTCATTCAAGCAATTGGTATTCATCTTTATTTCTTCTTTTACTTTTAATTGCTTATTAATCATGTTTTCTTCATTAAATATTATTTTTGCTTCCATTAATATGTGTGAGTAGTTATCTCATTCCAAGATCTGGCGGAACTCGAATATGATTAATGCATGATTTAATTCTTTAAATTCTCTAATAATAATTGTAATTGATATGCTTAATTGATTATACTTATGCCAATACTAGATTAGGGATAATTGGTATTGTTATTAATCCTTTGTTTTAATCGCAACGGGAGTTGGGTTTTGACGGATTTGAATAAATCAATTAAGGGTTTGAAGTTCATCACGGGAGTAGTTGAATGGATAATTAGGAAGTTAGAGTAATGTGCTTAAGGTCTTTAATTTACATGATTCCACGGAAGTAGGCTTGATTGTAATTAGAGAAGCCATTGATAACTCGGGAGAGACCATTGGTATTATTCATGGATTACTTTTCCTCTTTAATCAATTAAATTATGTATTAGGGGTAGAACGACTATTGCATTAATTGTATTCGTGGTGATGCTTGATCTTGGATGTTTTTAGCATTGATTTATCATATTGTTTTGATTTAATCGTTTTAATTCGTTCTTTAGTTATTGATTTTCACTCATTTGGTTTGGTTACTTGTTTAGTAATTGCTTGAGTCTATTTGACTAGTTGAACCATAGTCTCTTGGGATCCGACCCTTGCTTGCCCGTCTACATAGTAGTGGTCTAGTTAGGTTTATTTTTGTTAGGTACGCAACACGCCTATCAATAGACATAATCTCATCCCCAAAAAAAAAAATTAAAAAAAAAAAAAGTATAAAGCTAGAATTATTTAGGGGATTTGCTCAAGTGAAAGGAATATATTGTGCGACTTTTAGCGTGTCATCTCTAGAACTTTGATTACCCTTGAAAGCATTCATGACTTAAATGTGCATCAAATAAAATGGATCTATAAAGTGAGCATAAACCAACACCAAAGTAATGACATTAATTTTATTTTGTATTTGAAATATGCTAGCATATCATAATAAGATTAAAAGATTGGTTAGTTAGTATACTTGGATATAGGGTTTATGCAATTATGCATGTACGTGTAATATAAGATTATTGGATGTAATTTATGATTGAGCATCCCCTTCAAATTATTATCATAACACAAGACCTTAATAATAAACCAAGTCTTAATATATATATATATATATATATATATATATATATATATATATATATATATATATATATATATTTGAGAAAATGTTATTTATATATAATTAATAGTAAATATATTTTTTCGTCTGATAGAATAACTTAGGTTCCTTAATAATGATCAAATTAACAAAGAATCATTAGTGAACTAAAAAGCGAGGCTTAATCCTTGTTTTCTTCGCCTTATTTTTGTTGAATTGAAATTATTTTACCGATTAAAACTTATATTAACTATTTTCCTATTATATTTGTTTTTCAAAGTTGCTATAGATGATACTTCGTACATTACAATTGGATATGTTTGGCTATCTCTTTAGAAGATACTTTCTTTTTATTATTTTTTTTCCAGCAAAATAAATAAATAAATAAATAAAACCACTCATAATTAGCCACACCTATGTTTAGATTAGGATCGATTGTCTGTTGTTAAGAAGTATGGGCAGTTAATAATCTATCAAAAGATTCGGATCATTTAGAACGGCTAAGTGCATGCGTATAGATTATAGCTAATAAATTAATATATGGTCATAGATTAATTAGCCGTTCATTAGTAATTAGTAATTCATTAATAGTGAAAGATTATGTACTATTCTTCTGCTAAACTAATAAAAAGATGGTCGGTGTTCTTGCTCCAATGGAGATCAGCCGCATAAATGTGACAATTATTGTCATTTGTATGTAAGCCTTTAATTAAATAATTATGAAGAATAATTAGCTAAAAAGAGTGTGATAACAATTGTATGCTCCAAATTTTCTTTAACAGCACATAAAGTAGATTAATATACAATAATATGAGTTTAAGTTTTACTTAACTTGCCACCAACTCCTTAAATATGTGCCATTATAAATGATAATCGTTGTATTAGCTATATATATTAGTAGGAAACATAGCAAGGTTTAATACTACTAGTGTATTAATGTTTCCCAACATGAAGACTTCTTCCAAAGCAACGATAGTCTTCTTGGTTCTCCTCCTCGTTTTCTCGTTTGGTAAGATTTACTTAGCTAAATTACTCATTCAAACTATAATTAATTTAATTTGTTCTATGTTAGACTGTTAGTAGTGTAATAATGTAAATCATTTGCAATGAAACTCATTTCTAGTTATCTCTTTCAAATTCATTCATTTTCAAAAACTTTGAGTCTAATAGATATTTATTGGAATTTTCTTAGCTATTTTTGAGCTTAAATTAAGTTATTCTAACATGTTTTTATCATCTTTAGGCTTTTATTCTATCTTAGTAAAGCAAAAGAAACAAGACCAACATGCATGGTCTAATAGGGTAGGTTGTGTTTTCTTCATCTGAATTAATAATGAGTTTAGGTTAGATTCTTTTAAAGTATGATCTGTTCCATCGTTTTTTTTTTCGGTCTAGTCTGTTTTGGTTGAACATTGACCGTATTTGCATGTTAACAACTAAATAGAATATAAAGAGTTTAAGTAGTGAAATCGTGTTAAATTTGGCTTGAGGCCTGTTCACTTCAGCTTAATTTCAGCTTTAATCTGTTCAGTTCAATTCCATTCATCTCCAATCAGTTAAGTTCAGTTCAGTTAGCTCCTAATTTCCTTCTCTCATAAAATATTCATGTCAACTCAGTTTAGTTCAATTCAGCTCAGTTCAATTCAATTCAGTTCAGCTCCAATCGGTTCAGTTTAGTTCACTTCAGTTCCAATCAATTTAGTTCAACTCATTTCAGTAAATGTGACCAGACCCTTGGTTTTATATTATATCAATAACAAGTACAAAATTTCAAAATTGGTAATAAGCAAAGCACAAATAGAAAGATTTGGTCTGAATTTTCTAGATTGATTTGATCTATGCGAACCTAATATATACTTATAATTTTTATAATTAAGCAAGGAGAACATTATCTAAGAATGGTTATAGAGCATACGACGTAAATTTAATTTCAATAAAACTCTCTTTTTCAATTTTTTAAAATTTTTATGGACTAGAATTAAAGAATGTTTAGAATAAAAGTTTGATTTCCCCCTCCTTAATTTTCATGTAAAATTGTAAACATTAAGTGTAATACCATATCTAACACAGGAATTAATTTTTCCAACTTTTTTAGATTCCTTATTAACGTTTTGACTTTTGAACAGTAGGCTAATCGATTCTTTATTTGATTTGAGGGATTATATTCTTGCTTGGATGCATTAATCTAATTAAGAGTACTCCCTGATTACTTTTTATTCTTAAAAAATGATCACTTGTGTGATGCTTTTCTTGTTATATTAACTATTATATTGAACTATAAAGTAATTAAATTGATCGAGTAACCACTTGCACCATTATGCTAATGAAATTCAAACCCAAATTGCCAAATTACAGACATAATAATAAAAAAAATATTATACACATTCGGGTGTAATGTGCACCCAAGGTTTTTTTTCAACTCATTTCAAAATCTTAAAATGAGCAAAACCAACGTGCACACAGGTGTATCCAAAAAATTTCTTTGTTTATTATTATATTTTAAGAACTTCATAGAAAAATATGCGTGCCTTTTGAATTAATTTTGAAAATAATGATTTTTTAAAGCACGCCTTTAATGTTGAAGTGAAATATTAAGGTGCTTAAACTAACATGCCTATAATTCTTTTCCCCCTTATAAAAAAGAGATGAAATCAGGGGAATGTCAATTATGTTCATTTGGAACGGTGGAAATGACAAGATGCTCAATTCCTCAATGTGCTTCGGACTGCCGGCGCAAAGTGTCACATTCAACTGGGAAATGCATTGCTATCGACACTTGTTGTTGTGCTTCAAGAGCTCACAAGCATTAATACTCAATTCTATGGACTTAGGAATGTGCTAATATATCATATGCTTTGAGTTAAACTCTTCGAATAATAAACATAGTTTAGATTTCTCCCTTAAGAGAAGGATCGTTTAAACTTTTATTGTATCTTTCGGATGTATTTTACGCTTGATTTATGAGCAATTAAACAAACTTATTGTCCATTTTCTAGTGATTTTGTGTATGGGCTAAATCAAATGCAATACAATTATGGTTCATTTCGGGTTCTATGTAAAATATGAGTCAAGCGTTGAGGCTTGAGGGTATGGGTTGTAGTCCTTGTGGATGGGTTTTGCTACTTTTGGACTTAGATCTCAATAAAATCTCACCAACTTTTACATGTGGTTGACCACACCATCACGGGATTTACTTCTTTAATGTTATAGGGGTGACTCGGTCAGTGTTACATGAGTTACTTCATTCGTATTATTGAGGTAACTTGTTCAGTGTTATACGAATTATTCAGTCAGTGCTACATAAATTACCGGTTAGTGCTATAGGGGTTAATTTGTTCTTCTACAAGCAGCCACATGGAGTGGCCAACCACACACAAAACGGGCTGATAAATTATTTTTTCGTTTGTTTATACATAAAGGTTTTAAATCCCTACCTTTTAAAATGTATGAGAAAACACTTATGAATAAATTGAGGAAAGTACAATTATATCCTTAAAATGTTGGTATACCTATATGCCCCTATTAATATGATGTTAATTGCGTTTAAGCTTTTCATTGTGTGATTTAATGATTTAACTCTTACAAATAATGTTTGGACAGTTACACCCTTAAACAAATTGTATTTACTTATTTGCCCTTATTAACGTTAATTGCCTTTTTTAAAAACTCTTAAGAATAATGTGTGACATTGATACCCCTAATAATATTTGTTTACATATTTTCCCTCATTATGTTGTCAACCACTGAAAAAGGTCCTCGTAAATTGCTAGTTATGACACGTACATTGCGCGCGTTAGGGCTTATACTAATTTACTGAACTAAGCTGAACTGATTGGAGCTGAACTGAACTGAACTGAACTGAATATTTCATGAGAGAAGGAAATTAGGATCTGAGCTGAACTGAACTGAACTCAACTGAAATTAAGCTAAAGAGAACATACCCTTAGCCACCCTAGTCATAATATAAGTCTTCACTAGCTAAAAAATACTACCTCCTTTTCTTTTTATTTGCAAAAAGGGGTATTTTATGCAAGATTTAAGAAAAAAAAAAATTCAGTTGTTGCAAATGAAAAGAAACAGAGGGAGTAGTTATTCAAGAAATGGTCAAGGATGGATAAATTAGTTTAATTGACTAAATAACCTAAACACACTTAAATTAGGTTTTACTCTTAACACCTAAGATCTTATATGTGGAATGTCAGTATGTCACTCATCATACTAACAAAGTGAAAGATAATTTTTTAGGAAAAATTGTTCCAGTTTATAATCCTTCTATTCTTGAAATTCGACTAACATTTTGTAAATTCTTGTTTTTAGAAAAGTTTGAAAAATAGCTAGAGTGATAGAGTAGGTGTTAGGGAAGACGTGGATATAATTGAGTGAAAAAGGGATTTACCATTGTTGGAATAAAATAAAACGGAAGGGTTTATTTAAAAGATTTTAGAACGCCACATATAAAAATGACATATTTTATCTATTGAAAAAAGATATTTGGGTGGTCAGCCTACCTCCCTGGCTCCCCCACCCGACCCAACCTACTCGTCACCATGACCACCAACCCCCGTGGTCTTGCTTTCCCCCACCACCGACCCTCCTTCATCCCACCCGACCTTGACATGGGGCGGGGTGTCATGGCTTGTGAAGGGTAGGGTATGATGGGTGTAGGGAATATTTCAGGCATTACCCCAAGCTTGAACCCCACTGTGATCATACACTAAAGTATGGTGGCGTCCAAAGGAAAAGAAGCTAGAGCAAAAGAGTCGCCAACAAGTTTTAGGAACTTGTAAACTGTTCACAGGGTGAATGTTACACTCCTTAACGATCCAGGAGATCGTTAACTTCAATAGGTCTGGAACCATGACTGGAAGTTCGGGGATGAAGGTACAAATCAAACCTAAAAGAGATTGAACCTGCCCTAATAATAGGCCTCTACTTTATTCTGATCGTATTCATGTGCGCTTTCTGACTAACATGCAATCATTAGGATTAACCCTAAACTTGTTTAATCTATGTTGGTTGAATATTAATGAACAAACAAATCTATTATTGGCGATCACTTGAATTATAATCATATTAACCTAAATAAGATTATTAATTATCTTATTAAGCGTGATTACAAATACCAATTCCCTTTAAACATGCATAAAAGGTGTGATCAAACAATAACAATAAATATATATCAAGCAACATAATAATACTCATAAATCATAACAATTATAATCATAATCATGTTAAAGCATAATAATAGCAAGATCCTAGGCATGATACTAACAAGATTAATAACAAACCCTAGCATGTCACTAAACATAAAGATCCTTTGTGATGTAGTTTCTCGAAAGATGTTTCGTAACTCATACCAAGTGGAGTGAACACTCTTTTTGACCTTTGGATTCGCGATTTAGAGGCGATCGTAGCATGTACCTCATTAATGGGAGAGGAAGAAGAAGGATAGTCGTTCTTCTTTCCTCTCGCACTATTATCTTTCAGAAGGTCATCTTCAATGTCAATGCCTATATTATACACAGCCTTGAAAGTATTCAAGTTGTGTTGGTATTTCAAGTGCTTTGAATATTTCCCTTGGAAATTCTTGATAAACATCCTCACAGATTCTTTTTCGGTAGGAACCTTGACCATATTAGCGGAAGTTTCCCTCCATTTGTTGAAGAAAGACGTGAACCCTTCATTTTCTTTTTGTTTTAACATTTTAAGTTGTCCGTGGTCTGTTTCCTCTTGAATGTTGCACTTATATCTATCTATGAAAGCGTTTGTTATCGACTCCCAAGAAGAGGTTTTCTCTTTGTCAAGGGAAAAGAGTCATTGTTGGCAAACGGTCTCAAGAGATAAAGAAAACAAGGAATGAAAGACTTTCCTATCGATCCCCTTAATGTTCATTATGGTTTCAAAAGCTCTTAGATGAAAATAAGGGTTGTCAGTTGCCTTGAATTTCGGGATGTCGTTGGCATTGAACTTCTGCGGAAGAAGATATTTGTCCACCAAGACCCCTTGTGAGCTAATGCCTTGAAACTTGTAGTCACTAGACAACTTGCTCAAACTTTCTTGCATGAGGTTCATTTGTTGTTGCTTCACAGGGTCATCAATTTTGAGGGTTAAAGCCTTCAACACCTCAGTCACGTCAGTCAATTGACTCCTAAGTTCATTAACTTCCTCTTGAGTCGCCATTATATTTTTAGCCTTCCTCTTTTGACGAATCGGTTTATCAAAAAGTAAGACTTGAATAAAGAGGTTATCCTTGATTAATCGCCCTTCTCTCCTCGACCAAGTACTATGGAAAAAGAATTTGGGGGTATTCATTGTTAATTGTTTGACTCAAACTTTATTCAACATGCAATGGATAGAAGAAGGTAGGAAAATGAGGGTGGTGATATGGAGAAAGCATGTAGATGAAGAGATTTGGAAAATTAGGAATAGAATGTACCCCCAACTCAAATGACGGAAAAAACCGACTCATGCATGAACCTAAGTCATGGTCATGAGACTAGTGAGTGTAGGTGACATGCTTTGACTCTTGTGTAAGACTATGGAACTTATTGCGTGACTCAATTAATGACTTAACAAGGTATATTATTGATAAAAATAATCGAATTGATTAGAAAATTGTTCAATTAGACACAAAGTGATGACTCGAGCAATATACCGAACTGTCGCCAAAACGACAGGACTGGCGCCTCTCTTTGCAGTGTAGCGCCAGACGACAGCATTGTCGCCAGGCGCCACACTCCACAGAGTGGCGCTACAGTTCAAACTTTGGCGCCATTGCTGGAGCATCGATCTGAGACTGTTTTCGGTATTATTAATCAACAGGGGTGTGCCTAAAGTCGTACTAGGTCAATTCTGATTAAAATATTAGACTTTATTTACTCAAATTAATTAATTAATTAATTAATTAATTAGGCAAAGTTCTTTTAGTCATTAATTTATTTAATCTTAACACAAGTCAAACAAATAGTTAGGAAAAACACATAATATATGCACAACAAATAATGCACAATTAGTCAAGTAGGCACAATATGATGCAATGAGTTTGCAACCTAATCATGGCTCTAGTTCTCTAAAGTTCGAGATATGGGTTAGTCAATAGAGGGTCCATGGTTAATTGTCCGGATGCACCGCGCGGAAGCCTAACCGTGAAGGGTTGGCGCGAGTGGATGGGACACCGCGAGCTTTAGAAAAAACTCGCCTCCATGGTTTGGTGAATTCAACATTCTCGGATGTACCCTTTGTTTCTCAGAGCGTTCAATCAGGTAGATGGATCATGAATTCCCAGAGGGTTATGTCCATATGTAGAACACATATGGGTTTCAGAAAAGTGAGAAAAACTCAATCAGGAAGTAGGATCGAGTGAACAATGCTAAAAACTAGTCGAAATTAGAACGCATATTTCTGGCTCGGTATTGGAAGAATTTGGCGCCAGCAAATAGGGGCTGGCGCCGGATTTTGGCTGTAGCGCCTGGCGACAGAGCTGTCGTCTAGCGCTACAGTCAAATTCCTGGCGCTAAATTCTGTTCGCTGAGGCTAATTCCTACATGCCTCAGTAGCTTTCTGTGCTCGATAAAATTTTCCAGTTTCGCGTAGTGTTATTTCGGTTCTAGTTGTAAAAGATATTCCTCAAATTTCCTACGTGTAAAAATCCTATATTTTAACTCATTACGGATGGTCTTTCCAATGAGATCTTTTTTATGCATATGACAATAATGTTAATCAAAATTACGCACATGAAATACCTAGAAATTTTCGAGTCTCATCCACTCATTCTAAATCATTTCCGAAATAAATTTCAGGAATTAAAATAGAAATCCTCCCCAGTAGAGTCGCCAAAAACTGCAGGGAATATTTCAAGCATTATCCCTAACTTGAACCCGACTGTGATCATACACTAAAATATGGTGGCGTCCAAAGGGAAAGAAGAAAGAGCAAAAGAGTCGCCAACAAGTTTTAGGAACTTGTAAACCGTTCACGAGGTGAAGATTACACCCCTT